TAGTAACTGACAAATGCTGCTAACATGCTCTTTGTCTGCCACGTCACTGAAAGCTACATGTTTGTGGAATAAACTATAAAGCATATGTATTTCACAGGTCCTGGCTTTCCAAAGTCTTGCAGTTTCAAATACTGACCTTGTGGAGGACTGGAAATTTTCCTCAGGCTATAAGTCTCTGGTGTAAGATAAAGATTTGTGGCACAGCAAGGTTGCTGGCTCAAGGACAGACTAGTTACTGACTGTTATGTAAAGATACTGAGAAATTGCTGTAAGATCACTTATTTGTTTACTGGAATGTCATCTGACTTGTTTCACTGAAAGTTACCAGCTTATATTGTTAAACTGTAATCCCACCTATGTCTCTTCCTGCAACTTCCTGGTCTGGAAAATAAATGCAGGAAGAGAACCCCAATTCGGTGTTAATTTCCTGAGGAAGGGTTGCCTCTTGCTGGAGGGTCCCAGGGAAGTTAACCACTTTGGGGCTTCTCACTACTCAGAAGAGGTGGGCTTTGAGTAATCCTTTGTGTCTTCATCACCCAGGGGAAGTGGGGTGACAAATCCATGGGGGGCGAAGGAACACAAAGCAACACATGTTTATCAGGGACATTAATTGCTTTCCCATTAATTGAGATAAGTGATTCATCAAATGTTCTAGCCTTGTGTAGTGAACTGAATTATGTCTCCCCAAAACTATTGAAGCTTGAATTGTATCCCCCAAGTTTATGTATTAGAAACTTAGCCCCTATTGTGACTGTTAAGAGGGTGGGAAATCCTATTATGATAATTGAAAGGTAGAGCTTTAAAGAGATGATTAAATTGTAGGACTATGCTGTAGTGAATGGATTAATAATGGTGGTCAGGGGCATGGTTCCAAGGGCTTTAAAAGAAGAGGAGGGTCTGTCTTCTCTCTCTCTGCTCTCTCTGTTTCCACCATCTTGCAATGTGAGAGTCCTAGGTCACTGTCACCACCACCAGATGGACTTTGGACTTCCCAGCCTCAGAAACTGTAAGCAATAAATGTTGTTTTTCTTTATAATTACCCAGTTCTGTGTATTTTTTTAGAAGCAGCACAGAAACTGACTGATACACCTTGCATTATAGAGATTGCCATCCTTTCTCTCTCTCTCTCTCTCTCTCTCTCTCTCATCTCTCTCTCTCTATCTCTCTATCTCTCTCTCCTTTTCTTTCCTTTTTGGCGGCTGGCCGGTACAGGAATAGAACCTTGGACCTTAGTGTTATCAGCACCACACTCTAACCAACTGAGCTAAGCCACCAACCTCAGAAACTGTAAGCAATAAATGTTGTTTTTCTTTATAATTACCCAGTTCTGTGTATTTTTTTAGAAGCAGCACAGAAACTGACTGATACACCTTGCATTATAGAGATTGCCATCCTTCTAGTCTCTGGTAATAGTTACCTTATCACCTATTGCCTGGACTTGAATCCAATGCCACAATTTTAGGATTTTTATTATAACATGCCATGACATTTTCAGTGTCAATTTTTTTATTAGTCAGAGTAAGCTAGGTTATGTCACATTTACAAACTATTTCCAGATCTGGTGACTTGCAGCAATTAAGGTTTATTGTGTGCCTCTGCTCTGAGACACACAAGCTGATAGTGTGACCTCTATCTAGAACATTGCTGATCTTGTGGCAGAAGGAAAAGAGAGAACATGGTATGTGTTGTATCTTAAAGCTTCTGCTTGTGCATGATGCATGATACTTCTCATGTCTCATTTGCTAACAAAGCAAGTCATCTTATCAAGCCTGATATTAATGAGGCAAGTAAGTGATATCTCTTAGGGAGAGGCAGAAGGTATTTGTGTATGGTATAACCTACCACACATACCAGTCCTACTTCTGAAGCTCACGTTGAATTTTGCAATGTCTCCTCTACCATGGTTTCTTTTTCTAGATTGTCACCCCTACTCTACCCATCCCTGCTTAAAATATAGTTCACATGCTCTTTCCCCTAACTTTAATGGCAAAATTTAAACTTTTACAATTTGACATTTTGGTTAATATTTAATGAAATTTATATTCTGTAACCCTGCTTTCTTCATTTCCAAAGGTATCACTCTTTATTATTGTTACCTCTAGAAACTAGGTCAATTACAAAAAAAAAGTCACTAGATTTTACTTTCTTATTAATAATGGTATTCCTGTATACCTATTTACTTATTTTATAATTAGCTTTTATCACTCAAAATAAAATATTTGAAAGAGAGGTCTCCCCTCTTCTAATTTCTTTGCTGAAAGCTTATCTACACTTACTACTGTAAGATTTTTTTATTTACTTCTAAGTATTTTCCATGTTTTTTTTTTGTGCTGATCTTTTAATGGAGGCATACTCTTTACCATAGTCTACAAAGTCTGCATCAGAAAGGTCTTTACTCCTTTCCTAATCTCATTTTCCTCTCCTCTTTTGTTATGGATCAACCACACTGGCTGCCTTTGAGTGCTTTTTTTTTCTTTATTGTTCTTGCTTTTAATCCCCCAAAACCCCATTTCTCTTGTCCATTGGAATGTTCTTCCCCAGATCGTCATAAGATTACTTCCATCTTTTCTTTTAGATTTTAGCTCAAATATCTGCAGAGGGACCTCCTTGTCCACTCTAACTAAAGTTACCTTCTCTCCTCCATCTTTCTTGTGTCATTTTCTCTCTCATTCAATTTTATTGGCTTATCACTCTAAAATTACGTTTTTTGTTTGTTGTTTGTCTTCCCCAATCAAGACGTAAACTCTATTAGGGCAGAATAATTTTCTTATTCACTAATAATTTTTCTTATCCCTACTGGCTAGAATAGTGCCAGGTGCAGAATAGGTACTTAATAAAGATTTGCTGAACGAATGAAAAAAGACAGTAAGTCTTCATAAACTTCAGGACATATTCAATTTTTTTTCTAGCTGCTAAACATATGTCCTCTCCTGAGCACTGCACGTTGGAATTCTTCAGCTCCATGTCCTTTGTCTCTCTTCTCACTCAATCTTCTCTCTCTACGCAATCTCATTTAGTAATATAGCTTCATTTTTCATCACTAAATTGAGCCTCAAATTTCTTCTTTTAGTCTAAATCTCTCTCTTCTATCCTACAGAAACCCACTTAGATTTTTCTTTTTCTTTCTTCTCTCTCTCTCTCTCTCTCTCTCTCTCTCTCATCTCTCTCTCTCTATCTCTCTATCTCTCTCTCCTTTTCTTTCCTTTTTGGCGGCTGGCCGGTACAGGAATAGAACCTTGGACCTTAGTGTTATCAGCACCACACTCTAACCAACTGAGCTAAGCCACCAACCCCACTTCGATTTTTCCAAAGGTACTTACACATCATTCTTCAGGGTTTCTCATTTCAGTATTTGGCGGCAGCAACACATAGCTGGTCAAAACTGAACCTCTGGGGCCGGCCCGGTGGCGCACTGGATAGTGCGCCGCTTGGGAAGCGCGGGGGCGCTCCCGCCCGAGGGTTCGGATCCCACATATTAGACCGGTTCCAGCTCACTGGCTGAGCGAGGCGCGGGAGCAACGCGGAGGGTTGCAATCCCGTCGCCGGTCCCTGGTCCGGTAAGGGGGCAACACTGAGGGTTGCGATCCGTTGCCGGACACGGAAAAAGACAAAAAAAAAAAAACTGAACCTCTGAAATTATTCCTGACTCCTCCCTCTCCGCACTTCCTCATATTCAACCAACCACCAAGTTTCTTTGGTGCCACCTCCTAAATATCTCTGGAATCTTTTTTCATCATTACTTTCCCTGCATCAGTCCAAGCTACCATCGTCTCTCACATGGACTACTGCCACGGCCCCTTAGCGGGTCTCCCCTTTCATGCTTATGTCCTCCTACCCATTCTTCATACACAAAGTAATCGTTTAAAAGCACAGCATCTTGTACTTGCTGAACTTCCCAAAGCTCGCAGCATAAAACTCAGTGTGTGAGTGGTCATTGGCCCAGCAGATCTGATCCTCACCTTGCTCTCTCTCTAAGATCCAGCCTTCTCAGACTTCCTTCAGCTCTTCAGATTCTCCCTCGCTTCAGACCTGCATATGTGCTACCTCTGCTCTGTCCACCCGCATCCTCCGTTTTCACCTGGTTAAGCGTCTACTCCTTCCCGTCCAATGCTACTTTTTCGGAAGAGCCTTCCCTTAATCTTCCTAGCTCCAATTACTTTCTCGATCATTTGATTGGTGCTTTAAGCTACGTATGAGGTTGGAGGGGGTTCGGATTGTCCTTTGTATTCCCAGCGCCCTAAAAAGCCTGTCCCATGGAAGATATTCAGGTAAAAAAAAAAAAAGATAAATGAAAATCGGATAGGGGTAGCGGAAAAGATTACATGTAGAGACACGGCCATTGAGAACACATTTTAAGAATGCAATTTCGGGACCAGGAAGAGGGGATGGTGGCATGTCACAGAAGTTCTTTGTGGCGATGAACATCCAACCGAGGGCTAGGACCTAAAGATTTAGAGATCACACCGACGGTACTCTAGCCATCTCTGAGTCATTTATAGTTTTTAACTTCTGCCTGTAAGCGACAGCCTAAGACAGGAAGCAGCTGCAGTCTTCTTAAACCGCAGCCGCTGACCTTAAGCGACAAGAGACCCGACCCGCCAGCGCGGCGCCCGGCGCTCTGCAGCTAGAGGCGCCGCACAGTTCCCTCAGCGGCAGTCAGGGCCGGCCGGCGCGCGCCCCACACGCGCGTCCCCAGCGCCTCGGCGCGCGGCCCAGGTTCTCAGAAGCCGAGCGAGAGGCCCCCACATTCGGAGCGCGCGGCTTGTCAGCCAGCCCGTCAGCTCCATTCCTCAACATGTGGCCTCCCGGGAAAGTGCCTGTTTGGTGTGAGGCAAAGACATTAGCTGTGAGAAATATACAAACCACAGGAATGAAGAATATTTCGCTTTGGAGTGGAATGCTATGGTGGGGCAAGGTTAGGGCGGACGCGGGTTAGGTGCTGGATCAAAGCAGGCACTGTTAAGGACAGCCGCATCCGGGCCCTCTTGCCGCAGGCTGCCCTCCGAGCCAGGGGTCCTTCAGGTAGGAAGTCCTGTGTGACTTTGGAAGTCCGCACAGCTTCGGGTGAGAGACTAGTCAATCTCTGGTGTGGCAGATTTGTTCTTTCGGACCGGAAACCTCTGCCGCAAACATGCTCCGCCAGATCATCGGTCAGGCCAAGAAGCATCCGAGCGTAAGTTCGTGACCTCCTCTCCCAGTGCCCTCCGTTGTCCGTCTTATTTCGGGGTGCGGCTGCCTCCTCTGAGAACGTCCTCCTTTCACGGCCATTTACCGTCTGTCGAGGCTATACCCTGCCTGACCTTGTGTTGTCGTCTTGGTTGCCTTAGACCCTTGAGCTGCGACCTTATACGCTGTGCATTGTGGGGTTTGGGTTGGCAGGAGGAAGGTGAGAGACCCCAGCGAGAAAAATAAAATAGTGAATGTCTGAACAATCAGGTGGCCACGTCCTCTTTCAGGTTGGTTGGTCCAGGAGGGATTAGGTGTGTGCTGTGTGGGTTAGAGATCTGCAAAGGTCAGGTTCCCTGTTTGTTATGCCACCTCTTGAGCATCTTGTACTCACCGCATTGCACCACCAGGCCTTGTGGCAAATACGGGGGGTCTGTGGTCTTGGAATCCTCTCTTTGTCTGGACGTCTTGCATTTGGGGAAATTTGGTAGCGCTACTGCAGAATTTAATTGCTGTTAAGTTCTATTGTATCGCATTTCCCCCCAACATAGCAACGTGTTGTGGACCTAAAACTCCACGCAGTCTTATCTTTTTCTTAAACCTGGTACCAGTGTTTTCAGAGATTACGCCTGAAGCCAGTATTTGTAATAGACATATTTCTGTTTGCTTATTCAGACTCCTTATTTCAGAGATTTTTTCATATATTTATATGGAGGCACACTTAAGTAATTTGCAAAGAGCTTGTTTTTCAAGCCTCAAGATAAAGGAAGCAGAAATTTAGTGGGAGTGATGTATAAATATTGGAGAGGTGACACAGAGTTGATACATTTTCTTGGAAATTTAAAAGTTTACATATAAATTGCTCCTTATTAAAAAATCAGACACTTGAACCAGAATCATCTTAACATCGTTTGCAAATTCCATTTCTTTAGAACACCGCTATTAGAAATCTTACCTCAATGTAAGGTCTACCTCTATTCAGATTTTAAGACAAGATAGCAAAATAGCAGTTTAAGGCTTGGATATCAGTGTGTAGAAACTATGGAGCCCCTCTTTGATCAGTATATAGGTATTTGAAGATGGCTATTAATTCTTTGTTTTTTGTGTTTGATTCTAGCTGATTCCCCTCTTCATTTTTATTGGAGCTGGAGGTGGTGGAGCAACACTGTATCTCTTGCGTCTGGCATTGTTCAATCCAGATGTCAGGTAAATACGTAAAATGTTTAAGATTTTAGTGGTTTATCAAGCTGGTTTAGGAACCATAGTCTCTCTAGGTTGGTAAAATCAAGTGGTGGAAAGAACCTGACTTTTGTAGTTAATACAGTAAGTTTAGATCCCCATTGTGCTATTGTTATTTACTTTCCTAGCTTATGAAAGTACCTAATTTCTCTGAGTCTCATTTTCTCATTGGTAAAGTAGAATTGCTAATACAAATCTTGTAATGTTTTGAGGATTGATGTAGTAATAATTGTTTTTATAGAATACTAAATCATGGTTCCTGGTACACGTAAATGTTTTCTGCCTGCTTTTCAATAGTATTGTTTCTTTTTGCAGTTGGAAAACAATAGGCAAAGAAGGGATTGATTCAGTGTTGTTCTATGCGCTCTTCTGTATATCACTTCATTGATGAAATAGAAAACTTTTCAAAAAGCCAGGTATAAAGTCTCTTGTGACAGGGATAGGGACAAGAACTACCGCCACAAAAGGTTCTGTATTCTACCCTTTTTCTAACTGATTACATGGGATTGCTTATTATACATGCTCTCTGTTTCAACTCTGTAACGAAAATAACATACTCCACTTAATAGACAATGAGATTGATCTATGCAAAATATAAGCTTCTTAAGAAACTAAGTAGTGTTTAGTTACCATTACAATTATAATGTTTTATTTCTTTTAGTTGGGACAGAAAGAATAACCCAGAACCCTGGAACAAGCTGGGTCCCAATGAACAGTACAAGGTAAGCTACAAAATTGTTTCAAAATCACTGTAAAGTGTATTGTAATAGATTTTATCATGGGGTAGTTTTTCTTGAAATTGGATATATAAGTAAAATTGCATTCTAATGAATTTTGAAGAACTGCTAGATCTGTGAAAATAAAATGGCATATTGTTCTTTTTCTAGGTTTTTAGACTTTGGATGTGAAATTAAGATAATGTTTCAGTTACATTTGACGAACAGATAAAAAGATAGTATAGGTATCATTTACCATTTTCTTAGTTTTTGGATAGGCTAGTGCAGTAGTTCTCAACTTCATTGTATGTACAGCGTGTTAAAACACAGATTCTTCAGCTCCACCCCCAGAAATTCTGATTCAGTTGGTCTGCTCTCGGGACCGAGAATTTGCATTTCCTACAAGGTTTTAGATGATGCTGATGCTGCTGGTCCATGCCACTAATCTATTGGATGGTTTCATTGGCTGTTTTTCTTGTTGGTGTGGTTGAAATATTTTAGGTCAGAATTAATAGAAAGAAGTAAAAGTCAGTTGAAACTTAAATTTTACCGTGAAACTCCTAGATAAACTTTTTAACATCTTTTCTGGAGAGTCGTCTGTGGAACTACCTTTCCAGAGAATGATTTCATGAACTGAGGCCATTTAACCCTTCCTTATGTGTAAAAATTTTGCAAAGACAAACCCTTACAATGTCAATAACAAGGGCAGCTGCCCTGCCCCCCTACCCCACCCAGAAAAGAGTTTTCAATTAGAGATAAATTAGTTATGGTGTGTTTAAAGAAATAATGGATACAGATTTGTGAACTTCTTGATTAAAAATACGGAAAAAAGTTGCTGATATGATTCTGCAATTTTGGTTCCTTTAGAGATAAATAACAAAGTCTTCAAGTAATTATAGCACAAGCTCTTCAGTTTTCTTTGGCACAAGAATGAGTAAACTCAAGATTATAACCTTATTTGGATTTATGTTCAAATCTTAATGTTTCCTTAGTAGAAATTCCAGACCAGTTTCAAATACATACCATTTTTTAAAAAGTTATTGGAGTTTTTATTTTGAACAATCACAGTAACATTTATTTCTAAAATTAGTTTTGAGTATAAGGAAATTTTTGGAAATTTTAAACATGCACAAATGTGGTATTATTTATTTATTTATTTATTTTGGGAGTGGGGGCAGTGGCCAGTACAGGGATTTGAACCCTTGACCTTGGTGTTGCCAACACTGCTTCCTAAGCAACTGAGCTAACTAACCAGCTCAAGCAGTATTATTTAAAAGCAATTACCAGTGGTGGTCACATGTCAGTTTGATGTTGATATAATCTGGGTTGGGAAATTAAGGAAACATCTAAGTGAGAGAGACACAAAAATAGAAAAGCCATTGAGGAGAGTTAGTTTATGTCTGAAAAGTTACATAAACCACAAAACAAAGTATTACTTTAAATTAGTAACCTCTCTTGGCTGCAAGATTCTGTCATCTTAATTACAGCACTCTTCTAACCAAGTAGGGATAGATATTCTCTATTTCTCTATTCTGTTGGAGATTCTCCCATGTACTTAGTGGAGATAAAGTAAAAACTTATAGAATTGGAAATATATATCAAAAGGAATTTTTTTTTTCAGAAGGAATTCTAAATTCACTTTGAAATAGAAGTTTTTTAATAGGTTCTAACTAATAGGCTGTACTAACACTGCTCTTTTGAGGTGGATTGAATGTTCTTAAAACCTTACTAAAACCATCATTAAAGGACTGGTGTTTTAAGTATAGTATTTTTGTGTGAATGATTTTCACATTGTTAAATACTTTTAATTAACGATTCGTGTCTGTAATTGTTACTACAGAAAACTGAATAAAAGAATTCTAAAACTTCTGTACCATCTTTATGTATTTGACAGATTGTCTAAAATATCTTATTTGTTTTCTAAGTTCTACTCAGTGAATGTGGATTACAGCAAACTGAAGAAAGAAGGTCCAGACTTCTAAACGAAATGTTTCACTATAAAGCTGCTTACAATGAAGGTCTTCCAGAAGCCATCCGCACAATTTTCCACTTACCAGGAAATGTTTCTCCTCTAAATGCATGAAATCATATTGATGTATTTTGTTGAGAGATTACACTGATTAATAAATATCTGAAACTTGATATGTGTCACTGTTTAATGCTGAAAATCTGCTCTGAACTTTACAGCTAGCATATAGGAAATAAACTTAGAATTTAAAGAATTTCTTAAATTTCTATGTATTTGTATAATTTGAAAATCAGACTTTAAGCTGCTTTAATAAAACACTTTCATTTTGTCTGTAAGCCATTGTTAACTTCACTAGAGCACATTTAACAACTAGAACTGGAAGTTATATAAAGGTAGATTGGGAAGAATATTTGAGCCTCTGTGACACTGGCAAAATGAAAACCTGAATTTCTTTTGCTGGCTAATGTCAAAGTGTGTGCAGTTTTTAACAGTGGTTTTTACCTTGGCATTTTCTTTGCTGAAGATTTTTCAAGATTATCAGTTGCTCTTTTCCTAAGATTATAGTAGGAATCTGAGTTTATCACTCTTACCATGAAGCTGGGGGCCAATAGATCTTGAGGATTTCTGTGCTGGGTCTTGGCAGGTTTTCAAAGGCCAAGGAAGTACATTAGCAGTTTTAAGGTGGGGAAAATGTGAGAGAGTTATCTTTTTAAAAATGGGCTATGGAATTGGAATTAAGGTGGAGAAATGTTAAATATATATATTGATACTTGTTACATGGCTCAGACCTTTTAGCCAAATCAAATGATCCAATGAGCAGAACATTTTAATTGAGGCTATTAAGAATTAGCCATATCTTATATCAAATATTCATATGGGTATATGTGTGTAAGTCATCACATCATAGTAACTTTCGTGGAATTTAGTGAGACAATTTTGAATTTTAATATATAAATATCTAGTAAAATGTTTACAAGTTAGTAAGCACATTTTACATGTTAGGAACTGAACTAAACATGAATTGCATAGATTATCTCAAATACTTAAAAAATTTTTTTAAACACTTGAAGAAACTAGGATTAGTTAAATTATTCCAATTCATTCAGCTAGTCATATGGTGGATTTGAACCCAAGTAGTCTTAAGTTTAGAGTGTGCACAGTGCATTTCAATTACTTGACTCTGTACTGTCAGCTTCTGTATCTCTTGAATAATTCCAATTTCAGAGCAGGATTTCTCACCCTTGCCACTGTTGACTGTTTCAGCCACACACTTCTTGTAGTGGACTGTTGGCATGCGTTTTAGGCCTCTCTCACTACAGACCAATAGTACTCCTTCCCTTCCATTCTTCCAGGCTGTGAAGAACAAAAATGTCTCCAGACATTACCAAATGTCCCTCGATGGACAAAATTTTTCCAATTCCCACCTCTGTTGAGAACTACTCCTCTAGACACTTAGGTACAAATCACTGACATCTAACTTTGTAACTGTCTAAAAAACAGTGATGTTATAAATAGTCGAGTAATTGAAAAACATTTTATTAAGAAATTCCAAATAAATGCTCCATTGAGAAATTAGTAAGGGCATTTTCTAGTATTGAGGATAATTTCATGGATCCTTAAAGATTCTTAAAATAGAATCTTTGTATTCAGTGTCTATTCTTGGACTTTACCATGTGAGAATAAATGTTAAATTTGGCATGAAATATGGTATATCTTAAAGAAGAAACTATGTTCTATTACTGCTATTTAAGAAACTGATGGCAATAGAACTAAATTGTCATTTATGAATACATTAGATGTCAATGCTGCCAAGAAAGGTAACATGCTCTTTTTTTTTTTTTTTCCTTAAATGGTTTTCTTTAGAACTGTGCTTTAAGTTCTTATAATTGAAAACAGACTGTCAATTCCTCATGTTAATGAAGTTACAAAGGGAAGGGGCAAAATACAGATGTCTTGGGTTAGCATTTATGTACATTTGAAAAGATGCAGTTTTCAGAATTTACAAATGCATCCCAGTAGGTACTCAAAAACAACAACAAAAAAACCCCAAAGCACACAAAAAACTAAGCAAAATTATACTGTTTCACTTCTTCTAAATTTGTAAGCCCATTCTGATCAGATTTTGCCCCTACCACTTCACTAAAAATGCTTCTGTTAAGGTCATCAATGACCTCCTTTTTTCAAAATTCAAGTCAAATTTCAGTACTCACTTTGACCTACCTTGACAGTCAACATAGCTCCTCCTTGAAATGCCTACTTCCCTTGGTCTCTAGAACACTGTACTATCTTTGTTTACCTTCTACATCACTGGATTTTCTATTCAGTCTCTTGCTGGTGCCCTTTCGTCTACCTGACCTAAGGGTGGGGTGCACCAAAGGAGGAACTCTGGATCTTTTCATTATCTGCAATCTCATCATCCAGTCTCACATCTTCAAATACCATGCTTTGGTGCCTGGAGTAATTTTTCAGAAAGGTCTTTTTCTACATATATGTATATTTATGCACACACAGAAATTTTTCAGAAAGGTCTTTTTTCATACATGTATGTGTGCATACGCATGCACACACACTTAGATATATCTGTCTCTTTATTCACTTGATCTCTCCAACGCGAATGTCTAATAGACATCTTAAACTTAACATGTCCAAATCTGAACTTGTGAAAATCTGTCTTCACATCCCGAAACATGCCTTACCCATAGTCTTCAATCATAACAGTTAATAGGAACACCATCCTCGCAGTGATTCAGGCCAAAAACCTTGCAGTCTTCATTAAATCTTTTTTCATGCGCCATATCCAATATATCAACTCATGTATGTTCCACCTTCAAAATATACCTCGAATGTGTATTTTCAACACAATCCTGCACTATCACCTTGGTCTTAAACCACCATCATCTAACCTGGATGAATAAGCTCTCAGCTGATCTCCCTGTGTACGAAATATTCTCAACACAGCAGCCAGAGTGATCTGATATATAAATCAGGATATGACATTCTCTGCTCAACACCCACCAATATTTTCTCATTGTACTCAATGAAAGCTAAGTTCCTAAACAAAATCTGCCACCTTACCTGCTACCAATAACTTTTTATCTCCACTTTCTACTACTCCACTTTGCTCGCACATTTCCACCGAGAGGGCTTCTTTGATACTCCACACAGAAGCATGTTCCCACATCAGGGCTTTGCATTTGTCCTTCACTCTGTTTGGAATTCTCTTCTCCAAATATTGGCATGGCTCACACTCTTTTTTTCTAGTCTTTGCTCTAGTGTCACTTTTTCCTTGAGGACTTCCTTATCCAAAATTTCACAACTCTTAAATAAAAATTATAGCAGGCCATTGTTTTGGATTGAGTTCCTGCACTAGACTGCAAAAGTCCAGACTAAAAATCAAAATGGAGTTTTCTTTAGAAAACTCCTGCTAAGTTCCACATCACCAAATCTAAACTAAGTTGTCGTCTGACCTTCTGAGAAATCAGGACAGAGTGACAGCCAATTTCCCAAACAGGCCAGTTTATATCTTCAATAGACTTGAAGTTTCCCTTGCTTTAATCCTTACACAAAAAGAATAACCTGAAGTAACCTGATGTTAAATAATCAGTTATTTTTCTATTGTTCTTCCCCTGTCCCCACCTTACAAGGAAAGTAATTTTGAAATCACCAACTCAGTTTTTGTTCTTTATTTCTTCTTTCTTCAGCTTTCGCTGTCTATAAAACCACCCTCCTCTGCTTAGCTCACTGGAACACCTACTCTATCTTATGGAATGGCATGTTGCCCGATTCTAGAACAGCAATAAACCTAATTGAGATCTTTAACTAAATATTTTGTCCTTTGACATATCCTATCTCACTCTCTTCACTTTTTATCTCCCTCCATTTCTTTATTTTCACCTCAGTACTTATTACCTTTTAATGTAACTTGCTTACTTAGTTTGTTTAAAAATATCTCCCCCCCACTAAAATGTAAGCTCCATGAGGACAAATCTTTTTGTCTGTTTTTATTGATGTGTCTTGGACACCTAAGATGGTACCTAGCACACAATTGGTGTTTAATAAATATTTGTTGAATAAAGAAGGGGCCAGTTCGTCAGGTGTCTAGAACATAGTGTCTAGTCTCAAGTGGCTGCAAATGATTCTTGACCAGGGGTGGTGATTCGGAATTAGAGATGGAGGAAGACTTTTTGCAAAAGGACTCAGAGCTGCATTCTCCTACTGCCACCCCCTGTTGATGATTTTTAAATAGATGTTTCTTTATTTCCAAGTAGAGCATTATGTTTGCACTAAAACAGCATCTCCTATCCTGGATTTTGAAGGCTATTTATTTTCTTATTTCACAATATTTCAATCAAGATGAATATGAATTAAAGAAAACACATATAGGCACAAATGAAACCAAAGAGTCTTCCTTGTATTTTAAAAAAAAAGAGAGCTTGGTGATGATAACACCGAGGTCAAGGGCCATACCCCCTGCATCCAAATAAATTTAAAAAAAAGAAAAAGAAAGTCCCTTAGGTGCCACAATACCATAGTCATCATTGCCAAAGACTCCATTTCTTTTTTGTTCCCATTTTTCCTTTTCTTTTCAATTGTAAAAGCAATGCACATCCAAAGCAAAATTATTTGTAAAATAACATCATTTTTATTTATAGGAGGCTTTCTTGTAGTGGCTTGGAGGATATATTAGAATACTATTCTGTAACCTTGTTCTCAAAAATGTTCAAGTATGGCATTAAGAAACCTCATTGTTCTAACAAATAACAGTTGCTATTGAGCAAAACAGGTTAAATCAAATAATTATGTATATTTCATATACATATTTATAAAATGTATTTTCATATACATTTTAATATTTACCATTGTAATAGTTTGTCCCTTTCTTCTAGGGTGGTTAGTAGAATTCATCTTGGAAGGAAATCTTCATTTTTCTTGGTTATGTAGAAGGCAGAGAAAAAAATGACAAGAGAAAGGATTATAAGAGGGCATCTCTTTTATCAGGATGAAATTAGTAACAATAATAGATAATATTTTTTGAGCCAGACACTACACTAAGCTCTTTACATGTACTATTTTATTTACTACTAATTACAACTTTGTAAGTAAGGCAAATACTCTTCTTATTCCTTTCTTTTTTTAAAGAAATAAAAATATGCCCAAAGTCAAACATGACTAG